TAATGAAGTGGGCTCCTGCCTCCCGTTTGGTTCCATCACATGACTTCCACCCTCATTTTGTCTCGGCTTGCTGACATGTTCAGCCAAGATATGGTGTGTGTGTTTTCAGCAAATTGCAGTAACAACGTAATAAATTGAATGACGTTGTGCATAACCAGTAAGACCGGCAGTAAAAAAATCTGCCATGTTTGGGAGACACGTTTGCTGCTCTCTGCAGGACTGGAATATTAAAGTGACTCAGCGACAGAGCAGCTGGTACCTGGTCTTCTGTTTACTGCATGCCTTTCACGGCTGAATGTGCTGCTTCCCGCTCTTTTGATGGGGCAGGTTATCCCTGAGACCATGACCTGCCCTTAAACCAAGGGGAGGAAAACAACCGAGAGAATCCCTTGCCGTGTTTTCCTACCCCCTGCCAGAATCCCAACTGTCCCTTTGCAAAAATTCGCCACCAGGAGATTTGAAAAGGCATCCTGTTCTTGCGGCTTTCTCCGACTACCTGAAATCAATGACTCCACAAGTGCAATCCCTCAACGTTCTTGGAAGGCCGTGGTTTCCGAACCCTTTGGACTCATGGCTTCCTAGAGCGGTGGAGCAGGAGGAGTGGCAAAGGGTGTAGGGGGAACATGGAGAAAAAGGAGCTGGAGCCGGAGAAGAACCACCAGCGGCAGCACCGCCGAGTTGGCAAAGAGACCGAAAGAGCCTTCCACAGCATCCATGGCTAGGTTTGGTGGGGCCAAACCACATAGAGAAACTTGGAAACTTACTGACACCCACGCTATTTGATGAAATGTGGGACTACACAATGGGGCACCGAACCTGCTGGGCTGAGCCTGGTCATGGGAACTGGTTGCCTGATCCGCGTTGGCCCTTCTGGGATGGCCAGCTCTGGCTCCCAAGCTTCGGGATGGAAATCGCAGAGTCCCTTCGACCTCACATTGAGAGGCAGAGAAGCATCACGAGAGAAGCAGTGCCATCTGAGGCAAGAGGCTACTTGTATATTTCTTTTCCAGTTGAAGATACATCATCTCCACTCATCCTTCTAGTTATTTGTTTCCTACTCCGAGAGTGAAACAAAACCACCAAGAAACAAGAGGGAGGTGTCAGCCCATCTACAAAATTAGCAGGAAACAAATCAATTAAAAATAGGTCAACCCACAATTGAAAGGCTCCTCCAAGAGAAGTGAGGCTACCTTGACGGATGGCTGTCACAAACTCCAAACAGGAACACGTCTCATAGAGAGATTGACTTGGCTAGCCCGGTTTCTTGCTGTTCCTCCTTTTTTTCTTTTTTCTTTTTTCTCTTTCTTTTTTTGGTGGGCATCCTTTTCTTCCTTCAAGGAGCTGGACCAGCTACTGATGGACAGGAGCACCGGGAGAATCCAGGACAATGGGCTGCAAACCTGCAAAAATATTACCAAGTCATGTGGCTACCCTGGGAAAATGGGAACGTGGTAAACATGGTAAAATCCATGTGGCAACTACGGCCTCTCTGGGTGGGGTTTGTCTCCCACACGGCCTCACCTACAGCCCTTGATATGGGTGGCTCTTGCCAGGCTCTGCTGATTCGCTCCCTCCCAGCCCAAAGGGAATGTTTTCATCCTGTTCGCAGCCCCTGCAGTAAGAGGGCTCACAAAAGAGGTGCTGGGGCTGCCTTCCCAGCCTTTCTGCAAATGACAGGATGGGCCCAAAAGGCCTGCATCCTCTGGCTTTCTTCCCACCAGCCTCTCCTTGGTGAGTTTATGTTGCACCAGGGGAATACAAAACACAAGATTTTCCCACGGATCACTAGGATTACTCGGTCAGCATTCTCTTGGTCCCCGAAATTTCGAGGCCAAAATGGGAGGCCAAGCAGAGGTCCCTCTAGTGTGGCAGAACACTGGTGGGTCCTTCTGTTGTCACAGAGGAAGCAAGCAAGGGTTAGAGGGGAATCTGAGTTTCTTCTGGGCCAGCCGAGGGCAGAAATGAGGCCATCCAAACAAAGAGACCCAGAACCCAAGCAAACTCTTGGGACAAAGGAGAGGGCCTTCTCTGTCGCTGCTCCCAGACTTTGGAACTCCCTCCCACTAGAGGCCAGGCTGGCCCCATCTTTGCCGTCCTTTTGTAAGCGGGCAAAGTCCTCCCTCTTCCCTTAGTGACTGCCTGTCTGAGAGAGGTTTTGAAATAGGATTGTTGTACCTTATGCCTTTTAAGTGTGTCTTAGTATTGGTTTAGTTACTGTTTTTAATATAATATCTGTTTAATTGTTTTTAAAATATTTATATAAATTATAGTTGACCAGATAGGCGGGATATAAAAT